AAATTCAACACGATTTAACATGGGATAAACCGAGAGGAGCCTCACACGCCATTCCCATCGAAGTACACTCCTACGGTCAATATATTTCTTGCTCCCACATGAATGAGTCGAAGAGTTTCAATATCCTCAAGAAAGGGGGAAAGTAAGATGCAGATTGTGACGCACGCAACAATGATTTCTTACTATGGTTTTAGCAGCATCCAGCAATAACTGAGAACCATCGGTTTCAGAATAAGTGTAATCGCTAGGACGCCATTTCAGCACAGCATATAGAGAAGTAAGAAATTTGAGCATACTTAATGCCGAAGAACACGACAAACAACGACGACTCCGGATCGAAAATGGGTCTTTGGTTGAGGAAAACGTTTGTCTGCAAGCTAAGGTGTCAACAGTCTCGATATGTGATTCTGGCCTACTTGATTGATGAATGTGGATATACTAATGTTTCGTGCTACTGCGGTTGGCCTGGTGAGGCTAATATGTGAAATTCTGGACTTCAAAAAACTGTGGTAGACCTACCAGAGTGTCAGATTAGTGACAGCTCCTCCTGGGTAGGGGTCTCAGATATAGGTTGAAATAGCAAAAGCAATGTCAACCCACCAATTGCGTACGGGTGCACCGGTGAGTGCCTGTCATTGGCGATATACTCAGTCCTGTGATAAAATCAGTAGCGCCAGGAGATATTTTTGACATTATACCAGGTGGGGCCATTTGATGCCCTACCTCCAGCCATCGGGTTTGTTCCGGTAATGACTGCCGGAGGAGGGGGAAAAACACCCGTAGAGTCATTCATCGCTCTAACACAAACATATTGAGACAAAGAAATTTTTGAAAAATGTCGACCGACGTCCAAGAGTCGCCAAAGGGAATAATGTTCTTGATTCTTGACAGTGATACTCCAGAGTTTGAGTTAATGAACGAGGAAGACTTGAACGAGCCGCATTCAGGCACATATGCCAGTTGTAAGCTGCAATTGTACTGGCCCGCGAGGTCCCTAGGGAGTGTATTCGCCATAGAGAACGATGCCAAGCTAATAGCCCAAAGTAAGATCATGGTTGACAGGAGGGGAAACGCAGCTAGCCCAAAGGGCAGCTTTCAACATATAACCTCGCTTTTGCGTTACCCCGGGAGAAGTTGAAAATGCTAACAGATCACGAGCCCGTCTGCGACAGCAGTCTTGGAGATTGAAGCTTCAACATGGGTCCGTTCTGCCGGCGGTCCGCCAGCGCCGTAGAAAAGAACGCGGTATCGTGTTGAACCTGCCGTCGGGTTTGTGCCGGTAATGACTCTAACATAAATATATCGGGACAAGGGTATTTTGAGAAAGGTTGGCTCCGACAATAACCAACTTGAAAAAAGATAATATTCTTGATTCTTCACAGTACTTGATCCCTGAGTTTACTAGAATATTGACGAACAAGGAAGTTGAACGAGCCGCATTCAGGGACGTACCCGCCAGATCTCAGGAGTATGCATGAGCAACAATGTTTCACAGTAAAATCATGGTTGATAGGAAGGGAGCGAAACCCAGCAAACACAACAGTTTTCAATCTATTATCTCTCCATGTCACACCAGGAGAACTTGAGTAAATAATAGATCAATCGATCATGAGGCAAATCTGCGGCAGTGTTCTCTGGCGGCGGCCGCAGCAGAACGGACTTATATGTCACAAGATAGCGAGAGCGTATATATGAGTCTATGAAGAACGTTGGCACAGAAGATTATAGTATGTTGCATGATAGGGACGATCAGAATGGTCTCAGTACACATTGTGTTACCATGTAAAGTGTCTTAAATTATTGAAAAACAAACCAAAAAATACTCCATTAGCTTTCCTTCACCTCTGCCTTTGTCGCTAGCAGCACACAATGCTGACCACCAGCACCAGCCACCTCCACTTTCCAACCATCCAAGGCCTTGCTCTTGACTCGTGAGGGGATTGGTTGCACTTCAACGTCAGGACCTAACCCGAGCTCGCAGCCATTCCCTGATCCCCAGCTATAGGCGTTCCCGTCTTTGGAAACAGCCAGGTTGTGCCGTGTGCCAACTGAGAGATGTACAATAGGGTTAATGGGAGGAGAGGTAAGCATAGCGAGGGAGAAGGGTGGGACTGGCGGGTTGTTATCACTTGCCGTGGGTGGTGGGGGGAACGGAATAGGAACCGGTTCAGGGATGAATTCATCGACAGCTGAGGTCACCATAGGTGCGCTTTCTCCATTTGCCTGGTCGTCTGCTTCCGTCGCTTCTTTGACGGCTTTCGCCATCGCGATTTTGGCATCTTCTTTACGCCTTTCAAGATCTTTCATAGCAGGATGGTCTTTTGCAAGCCCCACCTCATGGCCATCACAGCGTCCACAGCCCCAAACGCTTCCATCATCAAGAAGAAATAGTGAGTGATGTTCTCCACCACTGATTTGAACCACTTTGCGACCCTCCAGCTTGGAAGGGTGTAGGGCATCCACCTCGGTGGGATGCCAAATGATATCTTCATCGCCTCCCTTTTCCTCGCTGATACCCGTTTGTTTTAAACTGTTGAGACCCCAAGCATATACGATACCTTTGGCATTCACAGCAAAGCTGTGATAGCTCCCTGTACCGATCAGGACAATATTCCGTAACGCGAGCCTTTCCGGAGAGAGACCGTTGACTTTACGGCGTTCAATGATTCTACGACCAAGCTGCGCTGCTTGGCCAGAGCCCCAAGTGTAGACGTGTCCAGCCGTGGTAAGGGCAACAACATGGTCAGTCCCACATGCAACAGAAACAAATTGATACGGTTTCAGAGCGGGTATTGGGAGTGGTGTGATCTGAGTTTTTGACGAGCCAACTTTTCCATCAAATCCCAATAAACCATCAGAAGACTACGTAAAGAAACAAGGAATGATTATATTGTACACCGCGCAAGAACGTGGAGGCTCACCCGAAAGCTACCCCAGGATCTAAGGTCGCCTTCATCTCCTAGGGCAACACTGACGCTATCTCCAGCGGAAACGTCCACAGCTCGAAATTTTTCGTCGACCAGAGTTTGAACAACCATAGGTTGAGTCTCGAGTATTTCTGCCTCAAGAATTTCATTTGTATTGTCCGGGTCAGGCACCTGATTGGTGGGCCTGCCTAATGACGCATTGTCATTGATCCCCCATGACCAGACCTGAAGAAAAAGAACATAAATAATGTTAAGAGTTCATAGGACTTTAAAAACCTTTCCGGCTTCATCCACAACTAAAGTGTGCATGCCACCCGCACAGATTTTCTCCACACCAGCTCCTTCAGAACCCAAAACATCCCCTTTCGCTGCAGTTTCAAACCATGCATGAAGCCTTGGGCGTGAAATTTCTCCCAAGGTTTCAGTCCCAAGGCCAAATTGGCCAAAGTCCCCGGTACCGAAGACAAAACATAGGCGAGGCGGCCGTGGGTGAGAGCTAGACTTTTGAAGTACGTTGATAGCTTTCGTTCTAGATCCACGAGCTAGGTTTTGTTGTGATTTTTCCTTGGAGAGCTCCGCGTCTGTCACGGGTGCGGCGCCTTTAGGAGGACGACCACGTTTGCGCAGTGGTGTTGGGTGCTCAGGATCAGGTGTCTGGGCTAAATTCTCTTTGACGGGCTCATTATTTGCAGCCGGCGCGTTCTTTGCGGGTCGCCCGCGTTTGCGTAGTGGAGCTTTCTCATCCTCGCCATCTGTTGCAATTGAGGCTGCGCGCTTTCGCGTAGTTGATTTTAGTTTTGAGGCTGGTTTATTGTCAGGAGGGGCCGACCTGAGTCGTGAAGCAGCTCTAGTACCATTGGCTTTAGGAGGCATGTCTGTCGCGGAAGTCGCGTTGGTTGGGTGGTGGTTTCGCGCTAGAACTGATTTGATTCTCCGCTCTTTCATCCAAAAGTTCAAACTATCTGTCCCCTTCAATACCTAGGCCAATGAGTACCCTCAACGAAAAATCAAAAAATACAGATAAGCGTATGCCATATTATCCCCTCAAATCTTCGATCTTTTGCTTATCCTTAATCCAGCTTCGGGCACGGTTGTTCGCCGTTACCTTGTCCTTTACAATGCTCTCTCATCATTGGGATGGTCATATGTCTTTCTGGCAGTTTCAGCTCATCTGTTGGGGCTGACTGATCTATCGCGTGCAGCCTCTGCTGCTGTATCGCCCACCGCAACGTTCGCGTTGAGACGTATACTTTCCTATATACCCTATCTCCAATCAAGTGCTTCTATTACTACACAAATCCAAACACGCATACCACCTTCCCTCGTCCCTTTGTTTGATCGTGCAAGGACGACATTCACAGCTGTCGGCTGGCAAACTGCATTAGTCCAATCTGGGGCAACGCTTGAGGTTGTTCACTCACTACTAGGATGGGTAAGGAGCCCGGTTACAACGACAGCCATGCAAGTCGCAAGTCGACTCATCCTTGTCTGGGGGATAACCGAGCAATATGAATCAGTAAGCTGCTACACTTCTCACATTGTCTTTTGACTAATCAGTCTGCCTAGGCACGAAATAATCCGATATACGCTTCAATGCTTCTGGCATGGTCCATGACAGAGGTCATTCGCTATTCTTTCTATGCTGTCAACAGACTTGGACTTGAACCGAAGTGGCTCTTATGGCTTCGTTATAACACTTTCTACGTCCTGTATCCTCTTGGTGCAGGATCCGAAGCTGCTCTGATATTTTCTACTCTACCCTCCCACAAGGCGTGGAATGTATGGGACTATGGCAGAGCAAGTCTGTTCCTCACATGGTGGCCTGGTATGCCCTACCATTCAATGCTACCGAAGCTGAAGTACTCATCTTCAACGAAAGGTCTATATGTGATGTACACATATATGATTAAACAGCGCAAGAAAGTATTTGGTGTTAGAAAGGTCCAACCCAAAAAGATCAATTGAAGTATTAACAGTCAGATGCAGCTATGTTTGCTACAATATAACTCTTGAAGAGATTGATATTTGATCCTTCCGTTGAATTAATATACTTGCTGGAAATTTTAAAATATCTCTCAGGTAGTATAGAGGTTAGTATTCGCGCCTGTCAATAACCGCGAACGCGCGAGACCGGGGTTCGATTCCCCGCCTGAGAGTTTGTTTTGATGTACTTCCCCTCTATTTTTGTCTTGACCACTTCTGTTTGAACTCTTTTGTTTACATTCTGTCTTCCTTGGTACCCTAAATTTTGTTGATGATTTCCGTTAAGGCTTAAGTTTCCGAACTAATTCTGGTACTGCTTCATACAAGTCCGCTACAAGTCCGGCGTCCGCAATTTGGAAAATCGGGGCGTCTGCATCCTAAAAACAAAACGGAATCATCAAAATCAACACTCTGGTGATATAGCTGGATTGAAAAGAAAGGAAGAAAAGGTACAAACTTTGTTGATGGCCACAATCATTTTCGAGTCTTTCATGCCAGCCAAATGCTGTATTGCACCAGATATGCCGATTGCCATGTAGAGTTCTGGTGCCACCACCTTTCCAGTTTGTCCAACCTGCAGGTGATAAGCATAGTTGGGTGCTGTGTTATGGTGTTTAGCACACCTGCAATGAGTTGTCGGTGTAACCCGCATCTACGGCTGCACGAGAAGCTCCTACAGCTGCGCCCAGAACATCAGCAAGAGGGTCAAGTGTCGCCTTGAAAGTGGCAGCATCCTTGAGGGCTCTTCCGCCAGATACGACACGAGCCGCGCTACCTAACTCCGGGCGATCCGACTTTGCCAATTCTGTCCTCACGTGCTTGGTCGGACAGTTGGATATGTGGACTGGCTCTATGGCCTGCACCGCGGCGGATCCACCTTCCAGAGACGCAGTTTTGAAAGCCGTCGCGCGAACTGTGAATATCTTCACCGGAATAGCTTCTGAGGCACGGACGTGGGTCAGAGCATTGCCTGCATATATAGCTCGAATAAAAGTGGTAGTGCTAGAGGACGCATCGTGGGAGAAGGAGGTGACATCAGAGATGGCGGGGAGATCGAGCGTTGCGGCCACTCTAGGTAAAATCGACCGGGCAGATGAAGAATGCGCAGAGATAACATGTGTATATGATGATGAGGAAAGAATCTTGTGCAATAAGGGCGAAACTGCTTCTGGTAGTGGTGGTGTATATAGAGGCGAGGCTGAATAAAATAAAGTGTCCAAGCCTTGCAACCTATCATAGGAACTTTCTAGGGCATGAAATTTGGAGGTATGGAAGTGCGCTTACTTCTTCGCTTTCTCCACAACGTTTTCTAGGTAACCTGGTTTGCCTACAACAAGCCCCGTTACCTTGCCTCCGAGTTCGCCAGCAGCGGTGAGGGCTGACAGGGAACCTGAATCAAGGTCACCATTGTGATGTTCGAGGTAAACAAGAGTATGGGGAAAAGGCGCGGATGCATAATAACGAACGGCTGCGCGCAAAGGCAAGACTACACGAGCCCGAAGCATAATGCAAGAGTAATAGTACGAGCCACCGACAGTAGTAAGTAAGAGTACGAGGACTCACCCGATTGGCTGGCCCGGCCCCTTGCGACCCTAAGCATGGTGATGTCAGTGAGTCCTCTAGATCTGGCCTGAAGATGGAATACAGCTGATCAATTTACTGTAAGAACATGCTGTCCTCCCCAAAGTGAACAGCCAGTCTTTGCAGATCACCTCGCCACATCTATAGAAGCATTTTGACACCATCTGGCAAAACATAGCCCTGTGCCCCGCTACGGCGCCACCCCTATAAGAATCGTCTCTTCTACCAAGCAGTCTGCTATTACTTGGATTTCGTTCTGCCTCTACTTACCAATTCAAACAATGTCCCGAAGTGTTTCATGCCATTTTCATCTGCGTCCTGGAGGTTGCCGCAAGGGCGATACTTGTGAATTTCTTCACGCTGGTCCTTCAGGTGGCCTTCCGCGCGGTGCACATTCTCCAGGACAGCGTGCCCCCCCAGCCACCAGTCCAACACCCCAAGGCGTGTGCAACGAGTACTGGACCACTGGACGGTGCAGACGGAGCTTCGGATGCAAATACAACCATAGACAACCCAATAATGAGACCACCAAGCCCTCTCTTAGAACTCGTCACACCCCTTCTCTGAATGAAGAAAATATTGTCTCGCCAAATCTTAACCCAACGCAGGTGCATAATCATTTGACGAAGTTCCTAAGAGACAACTACCGATTCACCATGCCCAACGATATATATGCATTTATTCGGCTTTTGGGACACGCGACAAATGAGAATAATTGGGTATGTTTGCAAGTTTCATTTTGTCGTTCATTGGAAATCTCATTCACAGAGCTGCTTAGAATGTTGAAGACGGACAGGTAAGTGATCTATCTCCCCTGTGGCGTGTAATTGAGTTGTATATATTCAGCTTCTCATGACCACATTAGCCACTGTGAGTTAGATTACACTGCCATCCTACTCTAGTATTGAAATGCCATAGCCCGGACAAAATGGTTTATTGAGATTGGGTGACATCATTCGGCATCCGGATGTGGTCTACAATGCAGGCTTGTCACCCCGATTTGTTTCGTTCCAAAAAGCATATCTTCCATTGCTTATGGTAACCCGCCGTAATACATGCTTTAGCTTCTTTCTCTCACCATGCGCAATCACTAGTACCTGTCGTCGGAATATGTTGTCAAGAGCACTGTGAACCACAACGTCAAGTTCGCATGCCTCTTTTAACCTTCGATCCCATACTAACATACTGCTTAGCTCATTGTATGGACTGATTCATAGCAACTTCGAAGAATTTTCGGGGACCATTCAGACATGTATGGATGGCCTTATGACGATTGGTACCTTTCAAGATCCCAAACTTGCCGCCTCTTCGTCCAGCAAGGACCTTATTGGCAGCCGTATCTTTTCGTCTTTATCTACTGTTCTTTTTGAGTAAATGCACTAGTCTCATTCTCACATCAATTGAAGCACTAGTACTGACTGATTAAATTGCAGGTATTTGACCCGATTCAGACATGCGACCACAACTCATCCCACTTTGACACCGCTCGTGCATAGCGTTGCAACCTGGTTGGATCGTTGGATTACCGGAATAACGTCTTCCCCTTCTACGTTCGAGGATGCTTGGGCCAGCCGGGGGACATCCGAATCTCGTCTATTCATCACGAAGCGTCTTCGAGAGCAAGTAGGTCGAGTCGTCACAATTGTAACTCGTGAACAAGACAGACATGGGCTTCAAATGGTCAGAGAAACACCGGTTCCGTTCCACAACCATGAGAATACAGGCATTTTAGCGTACCTGGAAACTAAGTATATTGGACCTGGAGAAGAACGAGAAGGTGGACCTAGGCATAATAACGATTTCGCCGATATACGACAGATACGTATTGCCCCTACGCACGAGGAAGTCACTTGTTCCCATCAGCCTTACCTACCCGCGAATATACCCAATGCTCCCCATCACCTGCCTGCAGGCAGCATGGAGAGACTACTCGACATTCAGTTTAGGCTTCTCAGAGAAGAATTGATGTAAACAAGGTTTATTGCGTGATACTTTTTAGTAGCTCACCTTTATCACAGCGCCCCTCTTCGCACAGGCATTCAACTTATTTTGCAAGATCTTCGAGCGGCCCCAAGAAAAAAGACCACACTCTCTGCCCTTCTTCAAAAAAGGGGTGGCCGATACATCAGTAGCCTGGAGTCTCATGACAATATGATGTTCAACGTATACACGAACTGTTTGTTCACCCAATTCCACTTGCACCCTTATCGCGGAGTCACTGTCGAAATGATCTTTGATGCCCCTCCTGGCAGCGCCAGATCACGGAATGCGCAGGTCCGCTCAAATTTCTGGGAAGGTAAAGGCGGAAAAAGATTAATGCAGGGAGGGCTCGTAGCCTTGGTCTGGAGCGATGGTAGCGATGTCTCGGTCTACCTTGGGATTATCGCAAGCTCGTTAAAGGATCTAGCCGCTTCTGCGAAACAGAGCGTTGACGAGCGTAACCGTCTCCAAATTTGTTTTTTCGACTCTCAGGTGGAGCTTAAGATCTTCCAGGCGATCAGAAACGCTGACAGACACGCACACACATTCAAACTACTTGTCGAGGCGCCTGTCATGTACGAAACCATTAGACCCATCTTGGAAGCGCTTCGAAGAGAGCCCACAAGCTTGCCTTTCCCCCAATATCTTGCCCATCCACTATCGAGATCTCTGGCGACCATGGAAATCAACCCTCCAAAATACGCACTGACTCCCGGCTTTACGTTTGATCTACGGTGCCTCTTCAAGGGTGAACCTCCGGAAAGATTGCGTCTTAATGTGATGGAGCCCTTTGCTGGAGATGATTGCCGCCAGGCACTTCGTGCATCCAACAGTCGGCTGGACCCTAGTCAAGCCGATGCAGTTGTGGACGTACTAATGCGAGAGGTCGCATTGATACAAGGGTGTGTATTTATGTATGATGTAAAATTGGGTCTAACATCTCACCAGCCCTCCTGGTACCGGGAAGACCTACGTAGGCGTCGAGATTCTGCGTGTGCTACTACAAAATAATGTAGGACCCGTCCTCATGATTGCATTTACAAATCATGCATTGGACCACTTGCTCTCGTCCGTTCTGGATGCCGGTATCACAAAGAAGATTGTACGCCTTGGCACTCGATCTGCTGACGAACGGATTTCACAATTTAACCTCGATAATTTGGAAATGTTACAAGATAAATCTCGGCTGGATGCTACACTGAGTTCCCAATTTAGGATCTTAAAGGAGACACAACGGGAAATGGCTACCCTAATGGAAAGTGCGCGTAAAGCTACCTTGACAGGCACGGACGTGACGGAGTATATCCGGATACAATACGCAGACCAGTATGAGTCCTTGTGCACAGCTCCACGCTGGGTGAGTATGCTTCGCACTGATGAAGCAGCTGAACAAGACGCGGGTTGGCGAACTGTTGGCGACGATAATGCGGATGATAGCCTCTTCAAGTTTTGGGAGGACGGAAAAGACCTTCTTTTTTTAATAGCTCGGACAATTGGACCAGCACCCGATGCTGCGTGTAGGCTTCCGACGAACCGTTACGACGTACTTGATGTCAATCTCCCGGAATTATCAGAAGATGAGTCAGAAAGCAATGACTCAGTAGATATTCAG